AAAGAGTTTGAAAAAATTAACGGAAAGGGTTTTCAGTAGTGCTTTATCTATCTCTGGATTACCTGTGCGCTAAAAGAATAAAATAAACAGGCTTCCTACTCTCGACTGGGGAGGCAAGACGTGTCGGCCACATGCCGACCTGGGTCTAGTAGTCATCCGACTCTGTCAGCTTTCACTTCTGTCACTTACAGAATTAGGGTAACGCCCTCGAGTTTAAGTTCTGTGGGACTCAAACTGAGGCCAAGAATGGAGAGCACGTGGGATGGGTGCTCACGAAGCGGCAGCTCTTACGGCATAAGGTTGACTCAGGATCAACCATGTGATAAACATCAAGAGAGGACGCGCCACCGTGTTCCAGCTCTCGGCAGAGACAGGCCCCGAGGACTGTGGAGCACCGCGTGTTCAGCGGACTGCATGGGGGGGGGCCTGCACTCCAAGACCACGCCCTGCAGCGCTGACGACGAGCGGCTGCCTGCGGGGAGAGACCAGCGAAGACCACGAGCACGTAAACCGACCGTGCGGCCGACGAGAGAAGCGGGGGAGGCCCCCCTGAAGAGAGGGCAGAGGAAGTCGTGGCAACAAGGGGACCTGATACGAGAGCGTTGGAGTGTTAGAACCAGCCGGCACCGCAGGGCAAGGGGCGCTGAATGATACCAAGGTGGGCCGAGGGCTCACGGGCGTCAGGTCAGGCAGGTTTACGAAGGGCCTTGACACCGGGGAGAGGAACTGACGATGCGGCTGGAGCGGCCAGAACCCACCAGAGATCCGTGTGCGGGCAGATGCTCGACCTCAGTGGTGCAGCATAATCACCTGTGCGGCCCTGAAACAGGGCCCGTGCTAAGCCCTCGGAGAAAGTCCGATTCAATGGGCTGAGGCTTAGATATTTCTCAAATGATGCCTGAGTGTATTTCCTAAAAGCCCTGGAACAAGGGATACGATTTTGAGTACGTCACACTGGAGAGAGTGGGCCGCAGACTTGTGACACGGTAGAAACACACTCACAATCCGCTGCACCCACGTGCCGTGAGCAGGCGGCACAGTGAACGCGAGCGGGGCCGGTGAGGGAAGGGCGGCGGTGCGGGACGGGTCAGAGCGCATCTGACGGCACCCGGAGGAGGGCTGGGTAGGAGGGACCAGAAGAAGACTGAGAACAGGAATTCAAGGCCAGTGTTCTACTTGAGTAAACTGTGACGCCGTGACTGAGTCAGAGGACTGAGGAGCAGCACATTGGCTGAGGAGGAAGTTTAATGTATTTTCTACTCAGTGAGTGAGGAGATGGCAAGGAACGCACCTGCCTTAGGGGGCGGGGAAGGTGTGACGTTTTGTTCATTTTGCTTTGTTGGTGGTGGGGGTGGGGTGGGGATTTTTTTGGTGTTCTGGTTTTGTTTTTTAACTCCCTGACATATTATTCATTCATTCAAACACTTACTGAAAGGCAGCGAAGTTCTGGCTACTGAGAGTTTGAAACTGAACACAGCTCTGAAGGGTCTCGAAGTCTGAATCAGGGACACAAACAGCTCTAACCCTACAGGAAGTGCACACAACTGGAGGTGCATAAAAGTGTCCCAGGAACAGAGGAGGAAGCATTCCTGCGCAAGAAGTAGGAGGGCGTGGCCCGGGCAGAGATGCTCTAAAAGAGATGCAGCCGGGCTGAGCCGTGGGCCAGACACGGGGCGGACGCCACGTGCATAACGCTCAGAGCAGGAAGGCGCAGTCTCTCAGAAGCGCCACAGGCAGGCGGGGGTGGCGCCATGGGCTGGACTTCAGTGCACCGGTCACTTCCCTGTTAACAAGCACGCCTGCTGCACGTCTACAAGGCCGGTGGGGCTGCCAAACGGACTGGCGTTATTCCCGTGACTTAGTTCCTTGCAGGTTCTTTTCCCCAAAGGCTAATCCTCACAGAAATAACCAACGGTGAGGAACGTCTACTGCGTCGCGTTCCGCTCTAAGCTCGCTGTATACCTCAGCCCACTGAACATTCTGAACAACCTGAGGGGGCAGATCTTACGGTACAGAGAAACCTGTAACAAAGTCAGGCAAGAAACTCGACCAAGCTCGTGCATCTCTAAGCTGGGAGGTGAGGGGTCGAACGGAGGCAGTGGCCCCTGAAGAATGTGTCCCTAGTTCCTCTCTCCTGCCTCATGTGTGTGTGCAGAGCTGCCTCAGCGTTTCAAAGGCATTTGGCAATGACATTACAGACCAACAAGAAGACCCAAGAAGAAAACCCAAGTGCCACACGGAAGAGCCAGCAGGTCTCCTCCACCCCTCGGACCGCTGTGCTCATGCCGAGGTGGGCCAGAGTCCTGTCACTGGCTAGGGGCAGAGCAGCTGCACCACAAACAGCAGAGGGACTCTGACCTCGGCAGGTTGTACAAGGGGGCCATCCGGAAGCAGGCCACCACCGCCCGCTTCCTCTGCTTGGAGAGCAGCTTGTGCCAGACGGCCTTCTTGGATCTCTGCGGATGCTCCACCTGAGGGAGGACACAAAGGCGCACACACTCAGACCCCAACTGCCCTCAGACACACCCTGTTCAGCAGCTGCACCTTTTAGCTGAAGACTTCTAGACTTTCAATTCCAAGGGGACCCCACAATTCTTATAGACAAACCCACATCCTAAAAGCTACCAAATGCTCAGTCTGAAATAGTTTCAGATGTTACATTATGTTCTTTAGTAAAAATATAGTATTTTCCCAATAATGTGCACTTTAGAAGCTATGTCATCTCTAAACTCAAAGAAATAGAAAACCACTCTATATAAAACCATTCTGCATCCTTTACAGAATTTGGATATGGTGCCAAAACATATTTTCTCTCTACTCAGAAAAATTCACCTATGCTTGTTTATATACTCAATTTTATTGTGCGTTAGAGCAGCTAAAGAAAATCCTAAAGAAAAGTCAACTGTTTTGTAACATAACCGGATGGAGAGATGACGAGTCTTCATGAACACATTACTAGGAGTGAGAAAAAGAATTCAATTTTGCAAAAATGTTAAAACATATAATTGTTCTGTTAGACGGGGACAAACGAGAATTCAGACGTTGCAGTAAATGTTGCAAGCAAGCTATCTGTTTAGCTAATGGTGCTTGGAATTTCAAGAAGAAAAAGAGATTAATTGTAAGTATTAGAAAAAATTTCAACATGTAATTCTACATTAATTAGTAATTTCTAGGCAACTGAACACTGTACTTCCCAGATTGTAATATCTCCGG